GGGGCATTCCCACCATATGTGGAGGGTATGTGCCTGTAGAGGTATAAATGATTTTGAATAAATAAGCAAACACCAGGTCTTAGTTGCTACTCTGTATATTTGTACAATAAAGAGAAAGCTTGGCACACAACTTTGCTCCTTAGAGTTAAGTAGTACAAAGACCGTCAAAGAGTGTGAGGATTATAGAAAGAAAAATCATTCAAACATGCCATGTTTAAAACATTATTTATTTATAGAATGTACAAAATTTACAACATTAACAAGTCTGAGCACTATTTACACAGGAATACATCCACAGAAGGTTACAAAAACAGTAGAAAGGATAATAACCAGGAGATTTTGCACAAATATGGCTTCAGATGATCATGCTTTTACTTAGACACATTTCAATATTTTTTTTCACAGCGTAAAAATCTAAAATTCAGAATGAAATACAAATGCAGAGATACAAATTTAGTAACACCATCATGCTTAGACTGAAAAATTTTCAAATTAAGATTTCAAAGTGTGGTCCAAGTCAATGGTTACAGAGCAGTATAATAAGTTTCCTGAGTGATGTATCACATTATAATAACCACAGCTTTCACAGACAGGACAATTCAGTCATTCTTGCTTGTGAAGAAGTGCTTAACCACATGGTTCAATCGTGCAACAACGAACAACTGACTATCTTTTCAGAGATCACAATGTATGCAACACATCTCTTTGTAAGACACAATGCGAACAATTCTCTTAGTGATTAACATGTAGACCAGCTCTATCACATAGAGACTGTTTAAAATAGCATCCCCATGAGGTGCTCGCTACACTCTTAATGTGTAGGATGGCACTCACCTGTTTCATGCTAGCCATTGCCATGAATGGTGCCGTATTGGTGCAGAAACTCTCCATATGACCTAGTCACATTACTTCATAGCAGTGGTGTGGAGAGGGCACATAGGGATGCCATTGCTATCTGCCTCCATATGGTGAGTGCACAAGTGTGGTATGTAGATAACTTCTAAGTGCCTTGCAATCCTTTCACATTTCACATGTGGAAAGTGCTTTCCAAATTACTGATGCAACATGACAAAGAGCATATAAATCGAACATATACGGTATTTTGGCACACAGTTTCAGCCCCAGTCATGACTTTGGTGAGTTGAGGGGTACTCTATGAAACAAACTCAGTAGTACAGAAGATTAAAAGTTGGCTGAAGTGACGCCTTCCTGTCCAATCCCAACCGTTGTAGTGGTATGCCACAACATTGGATGAGCAGTCCCAATTGTCAGTCTTGCATCCCTCTGAATTGCAATTATATCTGAACTAGATTTTACACAGGGCCTCAGGAAAAGGGTATGTCAGATCTGGTGTATGAAATTAGAGGTTACGGATTAAAATGTATATGATGTAAGAAACGAACGAACAAAAAACAAGCCATTGCTGGCAGAGGGACATGGCTAGGTTGGATCCCAGGAACAAGAAAAGGGAGGCGAGTTTTACTGCCCCCCCACCTCCAAAAAAAGCCACTCCTGAGGGTCAAGGTGACTTCTAAAATGGAGTAAGTGAGAATTGACCAAAATTGGATGGAGACACCTTGTTTTCAAATAGATTCCTTGAAATTTCAATAACCCCTATTTATCCCTGCAGGCCGTTAGCAGAATAACGTAAGTTAGTCACACAACTAAATGCATCTCATTGCTTTCAATGGGACTTCATGACTAATTTTATCAACATCATGATGTCTCACATTGCCAATGGATCTGACTCCCAACTGATCCCCCTAGCCATGAAATGCAGTGTACATGGGACTTTGAACCAGGACTGCTGAAAAAAACAGTGAAAATTACTTCCAGGTAGTTGCCTCCAGTTCAGACTCCTGTGTGCACCTTGATGTATAAATGGATAGTATGGCCTGTTCTTATAAGCAGCAGGTTTACATTTATTTATACACATACATCCAACACACAAAGTCCTGCAACGAATACGAGAGTTCATGTTTTCATAAAGTAGCTGAATTACAAATATTTTAGGATTTGGGTGTGTGTCTACAAACACAGCACAGAATATGAGGCTGGTAGATGCTGGTTTGTTTGCTTTGGACAGAAGTTTTTATGAAGCACTTAGGATTTAGAAAAGGTTTCTTATTGGAATACATTTGATCACAGTTCCCTATTCCCATTTTCCCCTCCCCGCTCCCCTTGGTTTACAGCAAGAATATGCGTTGTAACTTGGAAAAGTGCCAGGTCCCCATAGATCAGCATTAGCCAAACATAATAAAAAGCCAAAGACAACTCATAAAAATCACTATAACTCATGATTACACGGCTGTTCATTGTATATAAAATCCCACTGATCCTTTATACTGTCATAAGGCAGTGACACGTATTTGAATTAGCTTCAGCTTTACTTCCCCACCCCCCACAGCACTAGTCTAAAAAAATTGTCATTGTCACATATAGGCTGAAAACACATATCATAGCAAGTCATGGTTGTTTTGTGGAAACACACCATGATAGCCACATCTCAAGTGGGAGCAACAAACCGTGATGATCCCCAACATACGAACCAAGGTTAGCTGGTGTTTTGCTCCAGTTAGGATTTGATGTTACACCAGAGGACCGCATCTCATTGCCTCCACTCACTAGTGAACAAGAAAGAAGTGGGAGCTACACATTCTGCACATTCACAGTAAGTAATCAACCATGGTTTGCCATGACATACTAACAGCCCATGCACTGCCCATAGCTGCTTAACAATAGGACACTGTATAACGTGTCACCAATCCTGATCATGTCATAAAAAAATAAATACTGTGATCTAGTATGTAAAATAAACCCTCTCCTGTGCCAAAAGTATTGTCTGGATTAGTAAAACGCATTTCAGTGGAAGCATTTCCTTAGTGAAAAGAAATTTGTCCACAACGTTCCTCTGTCAAGAAGTTCCAATCCAAACTCGGATTCTCATTAGACATTTTGTAGGTGAGTCCTACTGACCCATGACAGCAGCCTAACAATGCCCAATGTGCAGCTTTTAAGGGGCTCCAATGCACAGGAAATGGGGATGTATCTGTAAAGCACATCAAAACTGGGTTTGCAACATGTGCAGTGCTCTCCTGGAAAAGTTTACTCAGAGGAATGTTCCACTGGATCAGAGAGGTGTGCACAGAGTGTGCAGGACTCTGGACTCAATGAGGCTTTCTGAGTAACGGTCTTCACCCTTGGGGAAGTGTATACAGGACAGAAAGTCTTACTCTATGAACTGGTTAAATTAAAAGCCTTTTGAAATACAGGCAGTTCCCCTTTTGCACAGGGGTGGCAGTCCAGGTCATTGCGTGAATTCACGTGAAATTGGAAACCCATTGAAAAAGCCTGCAAACACACTGTTCTGCCCTTTTAGTGATGTCTTTCTGACGTTTCCAGGTTTGGAGCTGTGCATGTGTGTGCTGCCCTAAATGGCCTCAGCCCAGTATACCTGAAGGAGCGTCTCTACCCCCCATTGTTCCGCCTGGACACTGAGGTCCAGCGCCAAAGGCCTTCTGGTGGTTCCTTTACTGCGAGAAGCAAAGTTACAGGGAACCAGGCAGAGGGCCTTCTCGGTAGTGGCACCCGCCCTGTGGAACGCCCTCCCATCAGATGTCAAGGAAATGAACAACTATCTGACTTTTTAGAAGACATCTGAAGGCAGCCCTGTTTAGGGAAGTTTTTAATGTTTGATGTTTTATTGTGGTTTTAATATTCTGTTAGGATTCGCCATAGTGGCTGGGGAAACCTAGCCAGATAGACGGCGTATTAATAAATTATTATTATCGGACATGCCTAAAAACAGGGCCTGTGTTAAAACAATGACCCAAATTAACTGGGTAACAGATGTGTGAAAGAAAATGCTACTTATTTTGTAAAAAAGAAAACACTGACCCTTCAAAAAGCAGAAGGTGCAGGAACCATCTTGGAAGAGCCATGGACTTCCTTCATCACACATAAGGAAATGCCTCTAAGCTGGTACCTGTTTTCCATAAATGCGTGAAGCAAGAATACTTTTCCTTCAAGAGGATCTTTTCATTCATATGCAATAACGTATGCAGTTTATTAAAACTAGAATGATCAATCAACTAATATTTCTTTAGTGCTGTCAGCTGATTAATCAAAAGCCTTTTTTTGCATAGTGGAGTGGCTTCACTGGGGAGCCCTGGTTTTAATTTCTTTACTGTTATGTACAAAACTCTAGATATATTCCCTTCAGAAGTTGAAAGCTACTACTTAGGAAGAAATATACCTTTTCGATCAAGTATTTGCAGTGACCAAAATCTTCTGATTACAAAAGGTTTCCTTCAAATTATTAGAGTTACAACAAAATTCTGTCTTCTTTTTTAAACCAAAGTCACAGATTAAAACAAAGGCTTTTTAATCAGCCAAGGCTAAAAGGAATTCAAGACAGCTGACTTTAGAAATGTCACTAAGAAAGAAGGGTTTAAAAACATATATTAAATTAAAGTCATATGTATTCATAAATACTTTCATCCTTGAATGCTTTTCTCAATATGTAAGTGGCACTTTATCCTGGGATGTCTACGTAGCAAAAACTAGCAGGAGACATGCCATTATGACTGGTACACTTTGCAAATGTCTCTGTGTGTGATTTATGGGAGTTGTTGTTGCAAATATGGCATCGCTTGAATTTCTGGGTAACGGCAAGTTACAGATGTTTCCCTCACAACACGAAGTGCAGACCTAGAAAAAGGAAAAAAAGTATTGGTCAAGAGAACTGTTCCATATGTGAAATGACCTTCATCAGATTGAAATAACTACATGTTACACTCCAAGTTCCAGGTTTTGGGTTGGTTGGTTGGTTGGTTGGTTGGTTTTTAAATGATAATGGAAATATAAAATAAAATGGAAATTTAGATTACAGAAGTTGCAGGAAAGGGCTAATTTATTTGCCTGTTTCCAGAGTCAGGTAGGTAGCCGTGTTGGTCTGACGCAGTCAAAAAAAATAAACAATTGTCCAGTAGCACCTTAGAGCACCTTAGAGACCAGCTAAGTTTGTTCTTGGTATGCACACAAAAACTTATACCAAGAACAAACTTAGTTGGTTTCTAAGGTGCTACTGGACAATTTTTTTATATTTTATCTGCCTGTTGTTCCATTTTTATCCATCCACAGCAAAGGGCCTCTTTGTCTCATGGCAAACCACTTTTGGAACTAGGAAGGACTTTAGTATGCCATTTGGATTTATGGCTTTAAGTTTTGTTTTTAAAGAAAAAACAGCCAAGTTTTTAAAAATCCCACTGTATGTACCCAAGCCCTTTCAGGGTGGGAGAAAATTCAGCTGAATGCAATCCCCACTTGCGACCTGAAGTGGAAAGTGCTACCCCTCTAGAAGCTGCTACCATGCCTAAAATAGTTTTTTTGGAGCTGAGTTGTATTGTGGTGTGAAAAGTAAGGCTAACCAAAACTCACATAATACAAAATTTCTGTATACAGTGGTACCTCTGGTTATGAACGCAATCTGTTCCAGAGGTCCATTCGTAACCAGAAACCGCTCATAACCTGAGGCGCCATTAGCAAAAGCATGCCTCCCGTTGCGTGTGCCTCTCTGGCACGCAATTTCCGCTTGCATCCCAGGGCAAAGTTCGCAACTGGGAGCGACCTCTTCCAGGTTACCGGAGCTCGTAACCCACAGTATGTGCAACCAGAGGCGTTTGCAACCAGAGGTACCACTGCAGTCTCAAGAAATTAATAACGAAAACAACCTCATCTGTTTCCAGATCATTTCCAAATTTCAAAAGAAAAAAAGGCCAGCTGTTGTGAACTTTGGAGAAATCACCCAAGAACCCCATGGAAGATATGATTGGTATGTACAATATTTGTGTTTTAAAAATGAAACAGTTTTATTCACATGATTACAGGTAACCACTTCCAAAACTTAACTTACCATCACATGCATAAAACCATCTTGGTAGCATCCATACCATAGTTGAGAAACCTATGCAGGCAGTGCTTTTGGGGGGTGGGATGCAGGGATATGCATACCCCTAAACATTTTGTGAATCTAAGTTTGGCCTCATTGAGAGGCAGTATTTCAATATAAGTAGGAAAATGAGAGTACCCCTAAACATATATTTGTTTTTAGAAAAAAAGCACTGTATGTAGGATTAGCCTATGGGTCAAGGGGTTTCTATTTCCCCAAACTTCCACTTGATAAATGCTTCCTTACAACCATCCAGTTTTAATACCAAATATGCTTACTTAATTTTGGGGTGCCAACAATCCTCACCTCAGTTCCTCCTTTTATGCAATGCTTAATAATTGGTGCCTATCTGAATACAAAACAAAGCCACGAAAATAAATCATCCTAACTAAAATGGCCATGTCCCCATTTTGTTGGGTAGATACACACACGTGGTGTGAAAAAGATCTGCTCTGTGTTGGAGTGAGCGTGGACCAAGGATTGTCCATTTCACTTCTTACCTTCAAACCCTTATGCTGGAGATCTATGCATCCTGTAGACAGGCAATCCTCCAGAGGAACACAGCGCTTGGTAACAGATACACTCTTTCCATTGGCTTCCAGCGTGTGTTGAGTATAGCAATATCGTGTAGCTGCCAGGACAGGGGGAAAAAATGTTTTTGTATTTTTCCTGTTTGTAAGAGGTTTCATGGGGCTTTTTTGTTTGGAGAAAAGGCAAGCAAGAGGTTACATGGTAGAAGTTTATAAAATTATATGTGGCATGGAGAAAGTGGAAATAAAAAGGTTTTCCCCCCTCTTTCATAACACTAGAAATGGAGTGCAAAATGTAAATCTTGGGAAGCTTCCAAGAGAACTTCTGCCTTCATCTATTTTGCACATCTCCTTTACACATTTTCATAAACCGAACCTTTCTTTTAAAAACAAAAGCCTCTAGACTGTGCAGTCCAATGCCTCAAAGCTTGCTATCCTGAAGCCATTTACTCATTAACAGCATCCCATTATTCTGCAATCTCTCTCAATGTCTTCGGGGATTTCACATTCTCTAAGAAGTAAGTGAACCTGATTCTGGCTAGGACTAATATCTAGCTAGCGTGTACATCATTTGCCGTGTATTTTGATAGTTCAGCTAATGTAGTCATAAGACTATGAGAATAAAAAGGTTATCCAAAAGCTGTGAGTCTAAGCAGCTTGTGGAGCCTTTGCGGCAAAGTTAAAAGATGGATTAGATTTTCCACCCAGTCGATTCCAGCCTCCAAATCCCATATTTTGCAGATGTACAGCAATCCCACTGAGAGGAGATGTAAAAGGCTCCCGCTATCTTTCAAAGTAGATAACACAAAAGAGCTTTAATAGAAGCCTAACTATGGCAAGTGCATCTCAGCTAAATCATCAAAAGCAGGTAGCTTATGAGCTACACTAATGAATTCACGGGAGTAATGGAAACATGAGTCCAAAAATGTAAGCTGTTGTGCAGCCTAATTAGCCACTCTCCTTTAATACCCCAAATCATGTCTCTTTGAAGTTGGGAAATATGCTGCTGCTCACTTTGTTATGTTTTATTGAGCAGCTCCTTGTAATACAGCTTTTGGCAGTGTGGCTGCTCCCACAAATTGTTATTCTGCCCCCAATAGAAAGTTCATGTAAATTGGCTGGAATCTAAGGTATTAATAATAATAGTAATAGTAATAAATTAAATTTCTATACCACCCTTCATCTGAGGATCACAGGGCAGTTTACGATATGAAAACACAAAAATATATAACATACAAACGTCCCCCCAAATAATCCCCCACCCGCCAGTTTAAATGGCCATAGATTGTTTAATAAGCCAAATTCCTGGGGAAAAAGGAATGCTTTCGAACGGCACCTAGATAACAGGCAAGCCTCCCTGGTGAGAACATTCCACAAATGGAGAGCCACCACAGAAAAGGCCTGCTCTTGTGTATCCACAGGGTATTCATTTTAGAAGAGCCTGAGAAAGTGGACACCAGTCCTTCAACTCCCTATAAACTACATTTACCCACTTCAACCCGCTTTGCCATCTTGCTCTGCTCAGAAAAGTGTGCTGGGTGCTTGGAAAATCCAGTTTCATTCCTCATGGGCAGCATCATTTTCAAGCAACCTGGCAGAGCATAGTATTCCCCCAGCAGCCTTCTCCCATAGCGGGAGCAAAACATGGTGTCTGCCTTCCCTTCCTCCCTTCAAACTAGATTTCCACCACATTGGCTTCCTTCCAACTAGTTGCCACACTCTGAGCAGGACTAGAATAAAATATCGGAACAGGCATATCTTTGGGCTGTTTTAATTGTTCTGTGTCTACCAGCTTCGTATTTGATGAGGTAACCCTAGTGTCTATATTCACTTGAATTAAAATGCTTCCACAAATTTGCTTCTTCCCTATAGTCTCGTCATTGGGAGCAGAACGACAACACCGTGTGTGGTCATCAAATCTATCCCAGCAGATTAAATGGTAAGGCCAGACCATGTGGAAGTTCTACACCGACCTAGAAGGGACTGCAGATGTTGCTGGCCAGCTTCCAAAGCACTGAAGTCTGAAATAAGACTGAGGAGAAAGCTTGCCTCATATTTGTTTATAAAAGGTAGGCTGGTGGATGTGAATGTGGGAGGGAGTTGCTTGAAAGTGAAGAAAGGTTTTGGGGTGAAGGGTCTGAATGGATGAGAGGGAAGGCAGAGGAACAGTGGATGCACAGGGTGTTTGAGAGTGGACTCAAGTTGAAAGAGATGGGGGTAAGAATACACAGGGGATGATGAGAGGAATCCTACAGGAAGCAGTGAAAGGGACTTCTAGAATGGCTATTTGCAAATTGTTTGTAATGTGTAATCAGTGAGATTATTTGGGTAATATTGTCTTGGAGTACTGTATGTGAAATGTATTCCTGAATTGTTATAGACTGGAACCTCTGTTTTCGAACATAATCTGTTCCAGAAGATGGCTCGACTTCTGAAACATTCGAAAACCGAGGATCAATGGGCAGTCTGCAAAATCCATTGGAAAAATGTAAAAAAACGCAGCGGAAGCCATTCGACTTCTGAGGTGTGTTCGAAAATGGAATCAATTACTTCCAGGTTTTTGGTGTTCTGGTTCCAAATCATTTGGCTTCTGAGACGCTCGAAAACTGAGGTTCCACTGTACTTTGAAATGATATAGGATTGCAATGTGACATTTGTTGTACATTTCAGCTGTAAACCATCTAGGGTACAGTATACAAATTAAATATGAAATTGGGTTTGTTTGTTTATGTACGTCATAACAGGAGTTCTTTGGACAGCTCTCAAAGCAAAAGCAAGCCAACATAGCATGCAATATAACATAATAAAAACTATTGGAAATTAAAGTAAAACTGAGACACGAGAGGCCCAGATTATAAAAACAGGAGTTATTTAAAAGGCCTCGAAGCTGCTTCCTTCTCCATAGTGCAGGGATCAGGTAGTCTGTGGTAGTACGGCACCTTGAGCAAGCCCAAAATTGGGTGCCCCCAAATGAACCTTCTCAATGATAGGTCTTCCCTACTTTGCACCCCCTCAGCTAAATCTAGCACTGCAGGGGTAGGAACCTTTGGACTGTGGGCCTAATCAGGCCATGCCTGCTGCCCCACACCTCATTTCATAAAGAATGTCAGGCATGGGACAGGTAAGGACGTGGCTGAGCCAAGTGGGAACTGTTGATCAGATGATTGGCTGTGTCTGACAATCAGCTGATCTGTGAAGCCTTGCATAGTGTTCTCAAAGACACAACAATGAACTGATGGTCAGGCTTGTGCGCGATGCCTATGCCTGCTGCAGGCAAAACCAGCTCACCTGAAATCATGATGCAGAGTGATTCACAGGTGGGCAATAATCTGTCCTCAGTACAATTCCTTAGAGGTGGCAGGAAGGCCTATATCTGCTAGAAGAATCTGTGTAGCAAGTTTCAACCACATCTAAGACGGATGCACATTTTGAAAACACCTTCACTGCAAATACACAGCTCATTTACCTCTTGGGCAATAGATATCTGGAGCCCACTGGTTGCAGTCATAGTTGTCGACTGCTTCTTCACAGGTGAAACACTTGAATCCCCCAGGATACGGAGTAGCTGAGAAACAAAAACAAAAGAAGCCACAGCTACATTAAC